AATGGGTGGATGTTGGTGGGAGGAGAAGTCATCCAACCTCCAACATGGCTGGCTGGGGAATTCTGGGAATTGAAGTCCACAAGTCTTAAAGTTGCTGTGATCCATCACCCCTGTTTAAAGCTGCTCATAGTCTGGGGCCTGGTTGAGGGACTGCCTCTCATCCCATTAGGTCTGGCAGGGAGGGGCATTTTGCAGATCCAATCAGCCAAAGAGCCTCATTTGACAAAACGCAAGAGAGAGCATTTTCTGATGGCATCTTTTGGAACATCATTCCCCCCAAACTGATATTTTTTTATTCCCCCCCTTCCATATTATTTTTTATCGTCATTTTGTCCATAGTGGAAGATTTGCAAACCATTTCCCCTAAGTAGCAGATTTTATAGTTTTCTCCTTAAAAGCCATTTGTTTTGATTAGCTAAGAGCATCATAAAGTTTGATGTGTGAATTTAAAAGGAAAACCAAGTCATCTCTCTCTCATTCTCTACCTCTCTGTTTCTGTCTCTCTGTCTCTCTCTCTGTCTCTCTGTCTCTCTGTCTGTCTCTGTGTGTGTGTGTGCGTGTGTGTTTGTGTCTGTCTGTCTGTCTGTTTCTCTTTCTCTCTGTCTCTGTCTCTCTGTCTCTGTCTCTCTGTCTGTCTCTCTTTCTCTCTCTCTCTGGGTGTGCGCGTGTTTGAAAATAGGAGAGCAGATGAGTTCATGTTCAACTCAGTGCAACTCAACCAATTTAGGCAAGGCACTGCAGACAAATGTGAGCTGTAAAGCTTAATAGCTAGAGACACAAAGTGCACCCTGTTGTTGTGATCATGATGTTCTGAGAATGAACACTCAGTACCCGCTTTTTAAGTTGACCCTTCTTCTTCCTGCACATAAACAGCAAGATTCAGGGTCATTTTCTATAAACCAGATTGACTCCTTTCAGCCAATTTTCCAGAGGAGTTACCAATTCCAGATGATGAGTGGACCAGTCCTCCAAGAAAAACCATCAGAAAAGATTGCCCCAATCTGAAAAGCAGCCTGCTCCCATTAACCAGAATGTCTCTTGCATTTGAAAAGATAACCCTACGCTGAATAGAAATTGAAGCAGACAGTTGCATCTGACTTTACCAACTCCGTTCATGGCACAAGTCGTCCACTCCTTACAGTTTATGAATGAATGCAAAGAATACGACATTTTCAGGACATAATGAAAGGAACAAAAGTTAAATGGAATCAGGGCAAAATGATGGTACGCAAGGACAAACAAGAGGTCGAAAGGAAGGGGGTAAAGAGATAAAGATAGCAGAGGCAGACATAATGATGCCATTCATGTCACAAGCATTATTTCTATTTTTTTAAAAAAAAGCTTCAAAGGAGTTTGCATGCCACTGTTTTCTTCTCCAATATGTATTTCTTCCTCTTCTATTACAACATTCAAGTGTGGTACCCACATGTAATTCAATGCAAATGTGATTTGTATGTTTTTAGTTTAGTGGGATCTGCTAGCCCATTATTTATGAACTGTGATCCCTTGTTATTTTGGCTTACTGTTATATGTGTTTTCTCCTCCTACTTCCTAACAAACTGTGATTTTAAAAAAATCCTGGTTCTCTTTTGGAATTGTAACTGTTATACACTGCTTCTAAGCATGGTAATTAGACTCTTCACTTTACCTTAAGGGCTATCAAACTCCTGGTCCGCAGGCCAAATGTGTCGTGTGCTGGCCATGTGTACGCCCGGTTTAGTGAAGGGGGGGAAAGTCCCGATACATCATGTGACACCGCCGTGATGATGTGAGTTTGACACCCCTGCCTAAGGACTTTAAGTTTGATTGTATTGGGATAAGAGGAAATTCTCACAGTACTGTCTTATGTCTAAGTATATTTGTGCATGTTGTATGGTTGTAGTATTATTATTATCCTTCTCATCTTCTCTACTACCTACTCTTATTATTATCATTATTATGATTTTTATTACTCAGTTGCTTTCCATGTACACTGAAAGCTTCTGCACTGGAGACAAATTCCTTGTGTGTGCAATCACACTTGACCAATAAAGAACTATTCTATTCTATTCTATTCTATTCTATTCTATTCTATTCTATTCT